CAATAAGGTTCACCTATTCTTTCTAGGTAATTTAGAATTTTGCGACGTTTGCGACTGCGTGTTAGTCTACTGCTGTGGCCATCAGGCAAAGACCTAATATTATATTTTACAACATTTTTGGAAGTTGTCAGTTGTTAGGGTCTGAAACCAAATCACTGTCTTTTGTTCGGTGCAATGCAAAATTTTTTGTACTGGCGAGGGACGAGGTAAACTACACACTCTTTAAACTTATCTGAAGTAAGGAGGATCGTAGATAGGCAAGGAGCAGCCCAAGCCTAAAGTCTTGATTTCCAAAAGTAACGGGGAAGACCGGTCACGCGAAGGATAACCTAAAAAGGCAGTGTCGGAAAAATTTCGACCTGTGGTTTTCTCCTTACTGAGTAATTCGACGCGCTGATTCCGAAAACCCACCCCGAAGAGCGCGAAAATGGCGAAAACCAGCATTTCTCGAGGCCCTTCATTTTGAATTTAGACGAGTGGAATAGAGACGTAAAGTCGTTGTGGGACCCCCATGTTCATAGCATTGCAGCATGCCGCCTTTGACGGTGTGAGAAATATTGCAAGCTCGTCCGAGCGCATATAAGAATGGCTTGCACGCACTGGTTCAGGGCCAATTTTCTAGGCAGAGGTAGCATGCTTGAACCTGCTTCGCTCTCATGTTTGGGGTGCAAGCAACCATATAAAAATTTCGAGATGTTTTTTGCCGAGCCACCACTTAATTTTTCCCTCTCTCTCTCTCTCCCCCCCCCTACTCCTCCCTCCCCCCTCCCCAATAGTTAAAATGAAAGGAACCCTCGCCGCAACGAGTAATAGTGCCGTGACGGTTGCACCGAAGGCTTTGAGCGTAGGCTCAATCGGAGCATCCGTCAGTGCAGACCTCAGGGTAGTAATAGCAAGTTTCACGCTCGAAAATTGAAGTGGGGAAGGGTTTCACGTGAGTAGATGTGGGTCGTCGGTCCTAAAACACTGGCTCATGCATTGTATCTTTGATAGGGAAGAGTTTCTTTCTCTTAAATATCAGAAGGGAATAAAAGTATTTCGTTACACGGACGAGATTACGGTTTGTGTCGCTTGCGCGGCAAATCGAACTTGGTTACATCGCTCAGAGACCGAGCTAGAATCCTATTCTCTAGTTAACGAACGGACTCTTTGGAATCGGTTTAGCCGTAGTGTCGTTGTTTTCGTAAAGTGCGGTTCCTGCAGTGTCTTTCTCTGGATGGCCCTTGAAAAATATTAAGGAAGGCTATCAATCTGTGATGCATCGCACAGACATCCGAATCAGTCCGGTGAATAGCCCCTAATTGACAGGATGATGTAGGTGATATAATTGAGTGACGGAACTTACATACTCGGATAGGCTCGCCGCCAAGTAGTTAGCAGGGTTCATGAGAGGTATGAACTGGCAGCAACGCTTTGTACCCATTTAGCATCAAGGAGAGCTGAGGGTTCCTTCATACTACGCCGCGTACGCCGCTGCAGCGCAATGGAAATGTGCTCACGGCAGCAGAGCTGCACTTTTTTTTGATGTATCTCTATAACTGCTTATTATTACGAGCGTCATTTCATCATTTATTTCTGTACAGTTTTGACCCCAGATTTATTTATTTATTTAGTACATTACTATAGTGTAATGTGCTAGATAGTATAGTCGCTAAAATAGAAATGATGCATAATACATACGAAGAAATATGTACAGATGATTCTCTTTCATTTTCACATCGCTAAATCTTCTGCTTAAGAATCCTAAACAAGGTTAAAAAGTTTCGGTTATGGTAAATCAATTCGAAAAGGTGGTATGTTAGTATGCGAAGTTATCTGCGCAAAGAGATTCTCTCAGACATTATCAAAAGCTTCGATCGCACGCATGAAGAGTAGATAGTAGGATGTATGCCCAAAATAACGGAGATACGTTGACATTGTGAATGCGGAGTGAATGCAGGTTGTAGACATTTCCTCTCCGTTACTCTCTATTTTTACATACTCTCACGAGTAAAATGACGATATTGGCAATCAAAGAGTTCACATGTTGACTGACTTTTTAGGGGTGAATCCGTCGAAGATCCTGTCGATGATTTGGAAGCTGTTTTGTCTTTCCTCTGCTGTTTTGTCTTTCCAGATGACAGATGTGAAGTGAGATTAATGCCCAAAGAGAAAGTAAAACCACCGAGTCTTTTTTTGCCGCATTGACTTTATAATGTAGCTGAAGTCAGCGCCGAAACTTGAATGGTGTTTTATGAGCGAAGAAAACAAACTGCGGCAACAACGGCGCATCAAATTTGCAACTGCTTCTAACAGTATGAAGAAGAGAAATCCTTTCCATTTAGTGGTGTTCGTAAGGAGATGTTTACAGCGCAAATATACAACCAGATACAACATACAACCATATACTACCAATATGCAACCAGATGACGCAATGTGCAGTCAGTTACGATACAAAATGTGAAACTCAAAAGTAGAGGGAGCACAACAACCTAAGTCGTTCCATCGATCATTGATATAGACAAAGGATAGACAGGTAAACAAAGCAAAAGAGAGGAAGAAATGCATAATGTGACGGAACCTATTGAGGGACACGAATGTGCAGCAAATATAGAGATACATCAAAAAAAAGCGGAGCTCTGCTGCCGTGAGCATATTTCCATTGCGCTGTAGCGGCGTACGCGGCGTAAGCGGCGTGCGCGGCGTGCGCGGCGTAATATGAAGGAACCCTGATTCTGCACGCCGTGACTCCGCCGTCATCATGCATTTTATAAAACGGGAAATTATATGGAAATTTCGAACTTTAAGTTCAGTAGTGAATTTTGTCCAATATGGGTAAAAATTTGTATCTGTAAAATCTGTGGTATGCTTAGTATTTTAAAGGGTTTTCTACGGTTTTCCGAATATGATAATGGTTTTATTTGCAACCTTGGAATTTTTTGGTTTAACCTTTTTTACAGTTTCAGTGTAAGCTTGGTGAACTGAAACAAATTTACAAATCCTCTAAATTACGAAATATCAGTCTCAGTGTATTTCAGCATCTTTCAAAGATTTAAGCAAAACCACCAATTAAAAAATGATATGATAAAAAAGCCCTGAGCACTATCGTCATATTAGGTTGAACCGAAAGTTCGTTCGTGCTATATCTAACTTCTTTCTCTTACGATAATCTTGACGGCAAAAATAGTGTTAGAAAGGGCAAAGCATTTTCTTTCTAAGGACACTTTGACTGCTTTTTTACTAAGCTTTGGTTGAACAGAAAAAATTGGAGAAATAAAAAATTACTTCTATCTCGGAGGCAAGCGTTAAAATTCCCAAAACTGTGCCATGAAATTCAAGACAGGCTGTATCCTAGATCATTTGATGGACACAACCTGTTTTGAATTTTATGGCACAGTTTTGGGATTTTTAACGGGTTACGTCAAAATTCCGAAATTGAAGTGATTTTTTTTTCAATTTTTTCTCTGCAACCAAAGCTAGTAGAGAGTATTCAAGCTGTCCTTAGAAAGTATTATACGTTTTGCACTTCCCAGTACCATTTTTGCCGTCAAGATTATCGTTAAGAGAAAGAATTTACGATTTTTTGGAAATGGTGCGAAAAAACTTTTGGTTCAACCTAATATTTGCAGTGATCGATAAAGGTTATTTGGAAAGAAAATTTTTTTAGAATTTCAAGCGAAACCATTAACAAGTTCGGAAACAGCTTGGCAGAAAATGCCTACATGCTAAATTCACCAAAACTTCAGAATTTTTTTAAAGAAGTCGAAGTTTCGGAAGAGAAATCAAAGTTTCAAACAGAACCATTGTAATCGTCAAAGAAAACCCTCAAATAACCAATCTGGAATTTCTGCCGGAAAATTTGTGATAGCCGGCTCAAAATTTAAAAAATAATGAAAATTCAAAGTTTTAAGCGAAACCACCATCATAACCAGAAGCAGCATTACAAAATACCCCCAAATACAAATTTTTACCCTTATTGGACAAAATTCACCACTGAACTTCAAGTTCGAAATTTCAATAAAATCCCCGGTTCATAAAATGCACGATGACGGTGGAGTTACCGTGTGCAGAATCAGCTCTCCTTGGTGCTACTTGGGTGCAAATCAATTGCTGCCAGTTCATGACCTCTTATGAACTCTGCTAATAACGGCGGCGAGCCTATCCAGGTATGTAAGTTCCGTTCCCCGATAGAAGTCGGTAGAAGATTCGTAACTCCGGAAAAGGAATTGGCTCCACTGACTATGTGGGTTGACCAGTTAGCTCATCCTTGTACATGCTGGAGGCTAGACTAGTGATATGCCCTGGAGTTGTCAGGGTGTGCTTTGTGTTCGATCTTAGTATCCTGACCACTATCAAAGCGATCGAACCAAGACTGGTAGGACCTTGGGGAATCCGACTGTCTAATTAAAACAGAGGAGACAGATGGTCTTTGCGGACGTTTACTGTTTCTGATTCCTGCCCAGTGCTCTGAATGTTAAATCGTAGTAATTCGAGTAAGCGCGGGTAAACGGCGAGAGTAACTATGACTCTCTTAAGGTAGCCAAACTAGTCTGCTAACTACTGATGCGCATGGTCACAATGTTCGAAGCCTCTTCGTGGTGTGACTGGGCAATGTCCGAGTGCGCTGGCGCTCGGCGGCTAATCTCGAACACAGACGATACGATCGAGGCCAGGTCCCGGCCATTTAACTGGGTAAACTCTCCGAGTCGTATCCAGTCGGGCTCCCCACAACCCGACGATACAACCTCCAAACGGTCCTCTTTAGGACCAACTGGCCCCCAGTCTGCTGATCCCAACAAAGAGCCTAGCGCTCGACGGGGGAGGACTGGCGGTCGAAACGTGTGGCTTGCTTGCGAGTTACACAAACTTTCGTTGGAGGTCAGTCATCATAAGAGCTTGAACGGACGGATCCAATGGTCGAACCTTGCGTAGCCTGGGAAAGCCGGCGTGGTCCCGAAGATCCGCAGCGAACCGTGGCCGCTCTCAAGGCAGCCTAAGCGAAACTGCGCAAGAACCCTGTGATGGCTGTAACTGAAGACAATGCTGAAGTGAGAGAAGATTCCGAACAGGCGAGGGGAAACCTGAGCCTCGGGTCTACAGGTGAAGAGATGCCCTCGGGCAGTCAAGGGGAAACCTGAGCCGCGAATCTTCTCAAGAAGGTGTAGGCCGCGAAACGGCAAGGGATCTCCCGAGCCTCGCGCCTACGGTTACTGCCGCTCTCTGTGAGCTTGGTCTGAAAGACCAGGTCCTCCAGAGAGTTGAGAAGTACTTGAACGTGGCTCGTACGTTCCGAGATAGAGTGCCTATAAGGAGACCTGGGTCGGAAATTCCCAAGGTTCTTCTTGAGATCGGCAACGAAATTCTAAGTGACAGAATGCCGGAACCGGTCTCGCAGGGCCAACCAACATTACCAAGCTAAATGACCTGGTGTATGCAGTCGCGCGTGCGATAGCAGCCACCACCGAAAACCTGGGGCGTGAAAAAGATCTTATCGAAAGTCTAAAGTTGACTCTATCAGAAGAGATAGAACGGCGAAGGGTTCTCGTCAGTTTGATCTCAATAATCTCGAGCGAATTAGATAGAAGAAAAGTGCGTAAGCGGGGAGAGCGAAGACGGGTTTCCCGTAAGTACCTCAAACAGTCTGAAACACTTGGCGATAATGCTAATAGTCGTTTAGAGCTAGTTAGGTACTTGAGGCAACTCAAGGACCAGCTAAACACTACACAGCAGAAGATCAAACGTGTTGAAGAATCCAAGCGTCTGATGCATGTTAGACGTAAGGGTGCTTCATACGTTGCCCACCGTCAGGTCCCCAGTGAGAAGGACACAGTGGTAGTACCAGTTACGACCGTAAGGGAGTACTGGAAATCCGTTGTGGGGCGAGTAGGCCATTTCGTGCTAGTTTTCAGCTTAAGAAGTGGGCCGAAGATCTGGGAACTGGATCGACTCCGGAAACGGCTCAGAAGCTTTCAGAAAGTGCGTGGCAAGAATTGTTCCGTAAGGTGAAGCCATGGAAAGCGACTGGTCCGGATGGCATTCAAGGGTTCTGGTGGAAGCATCTTTCGACCGCAAGGTCCGGTTTAATCCGCTGGTGAAACCTCGGAAGACGATTTCTTCCTGGCTTTGCCAGGGCCGTGTAATCCTGATACCGAAGGAGGTAAAACAGACGATGACGCGAGGGCCCGGTGATTATCGCCTGACAGCATGTTTAAACACATGCTACAGGATCCTAACGGCTAGCCTGTCAGCTTACATACGACTGACTGTAGGAGACGGTTTCCTCGGCAGCAAGTAGCCCTACGGAAGGGAGTATGGGGTTGCACGCATGCCCATATACTAGATCCAACTTCATAGAGGACGCAATGAGAAATAAGAAAGAGGTGCACTCGCTCTGGATAGATTTTTCGAAGGCTTTCGACTCACTGTCACACGGAGCATTCTGTGGGCATGTAAACAGTGGGGAGTTCCTTCCGACGTCAGGCGACTGCTCTCCGTAAATATGACTCGTCCGCTATTGTGGGTTCGAGAGTGGCAAAATGTCGAGAAGTCGCCCCCTGACGATCAGAAATGGTCTGATGCAAGGTGATGCCTTGAGTCCTCTGCTGTTCTGCCTCACTATAGCACCAATCTCTTACTGGATCCTAAACCATGTTAAGCCATCGTACCGTGACAGGGTCGGGGCGGAACGGTGACGGGGGCCTGACGGTCGGACACATTCAATATATGGACGACTTGTAGAGCTATACCCCTGGTCGGGAAGATATGGAGGTGGCAAGAACCGAGTCCAGTGCCTCTTTGGACAAATTGGTCTAGAGCTCAATGCACGTAAGTGCGCTCCAGCTAGTCTAAACTGTGCCACCCCGGTGCAGCTGGACAGCATCCCGGTTCTCGGGCGAAATGAGTTCTATAAGTATTTGGGAGCGGAGCAAAATGACCTAATTTGCATTAACGGACTATACGATCGCGTCGAGTCTGCAGCGAAGGCAGTAGCCAGGCGGTTGTTGTTCAGCGACCTGACGGTTCGCAAGAAGGTGGCAATGGCTTCAATCAGATGGTGATACCTAAGCTGAAATACGCCTTCTCATGCGTGATTTTCGGGGCGGGCAAGCTTGGCACATTAAGGAAACGAACAAATCATTTCGATGCTGACATCCGCACAGCTACTGAAGAGTCTGGTCTCAAATTCCGAGGTAACTGCGCGCTAGGCTATATTCGAAAAAGAGGCTGGTGGATTAGGCCTGAACTCGGCTAAAGAGAAGCTAGAGATATTGCTTATATCGCTCGCATTGCTTACACTGTGCTATGTAGCCTCGAATACTGAGATCACTGACCTCTCATTTCCAGAAAGTGCTTTGCACCAGTGGTATCGAGGGAAGGACCCAGCGAGCGACAAGTGCCACTATTAAGAGACGGCCAAACTTTTTTCCATGCGACTGGAGCAGCTCGTGCTGTAGCTAAGCTAATCCGTGCCCGATCGTCGAAAGCCCACACGATGGCATGGAAAGGCAAAGCTGTGGTCGGCTGCATCATCCATGGGAAACGGCTAGGTGACGAACTCTATGGGCAATAAAGAAACGTACAAGAGTGCTCGTTGCCTACACGATGCATGTGGCCGATAGGCATGTAGACTGAATCAATTCGGGTCTGTCGGATGCACTGCGTCCCGACGTCATGGGAACTGCGGAACACATCTGTCTTTCTGCAGCCACTGGCGTACCAACATCATGGTTGACCGCCATGGTAGTATCGTGTTCTTTATGCATCAGACGAAAGTATACAAAAGTCAACATCTTTTGCGAACATGCACGTGCCTCATGAGTCAGATACTGGGGCAGTCTGTTTAATTGGAATAACACTATCTGAATTTTTGAGCTCCAAGTGCATAGCAAATCAGACATTCTTGTCTAGGACGAAGTAAACAAACACCTATGGATAAAGGTTAACCGTGAAGCCACGGTTACTGTTCCCTTCTAGGAGCCTTCTGATAGACCAGAACTTCCAAAGAGCTAAGATGTACCCAAACGTGGTGCGTCCTTAGTGTGGTTTTCGTAAGGAGACGGTGCTAAAATTTCCAAGGTTCTTCTTGAGTTCTATGATGACATCTCGCGTGCGCCTAAGCCGTTTTCGAAAGGTAAGGTACTTGAAGAGTCTCGCCGTTCAAACAAGTGATCTAGTCTATGCGATGATTCGATAGCAGCCGCTAGCGGTAGCTTGGGACAGTTCGTAAAAGTAGACGAACCTTTAGTCAATTCTAGAAGAGGCAGAACGACACGGGACTCTCGCAACTTCTACGTCCATTATCTAACGATAGAAAAAAGGCGAGGAAACGGGGGAAGCGAATTAGTCGCGTTTGAAATACTTGACAATCAAGCCAGACGTTTCGAGGAGACCAAGTGTCTGCAGTTTGCCATGTCTAAGAGACTCTCCTACTTTCCAAACGTTTTGCTCCAAATACCCCAGATTTCAGCTGGAGGAAGCGACTGCTGGAAGTCTATTTACAATAAACCGCTTCTTGCTAATCTCTAACTCCAGAGGGCTTAGATGTTAAAGCAGCAAAAAAAACATGTTTCAAGATCCTTTCAATAAAGAACGGCTCGAGCGTTTTTTAATGGAAACGCTCGAGCCGGTATGCAGGAACTATGGTAGAACACCTATCTGAATACAGGTGTTGTCGCTGGTGAAATCAGGGAAGATGTTTCGACTCACAGCACTTGACGTGATCGCTTAGGTCGCGCAAGACTGCAAGTCTTTAACAACCGCGTAATGGTACTCATTAGGGTCAAGATCGTTGACATCCAGGGATCGGAAACATCCGTCATGTTGCGCACCACCAGGATGCAGACGGAGAGAAGGATTTTTCTCGCTATTTTTCTTACATCTCCGAAACGGATGGACTTTGTTCTCAGGTAAGATGACCTTTTTGTTGTAGGACTCACCTTCTTGCAGGACAAACTTGGTCAGCTGTACTGCGCTGGTATCATGAAGCTATCGGACCTCGATCTCTTCAACGATCGCTCTTGCGATGTAGTACTATTTAAAGTACGAGGACTCTTTTTAAAGATGAAGGGGTAACATTTTTGCACAATCTTGACAAAACTTCCACTTTATTCTCAACTTCCCTATTCCACCTAATTTTTCGCTATAATGGTGCACATAGTTTCTACCTCTCATGTCTTTGGTTGCATATGCTACGACGATGGCACTTCGAGCAGGGCGGACTAAGCCAGAGAGAGTAAGACCGTTGAAGCACCTCACCTTTGAGCTCAGATCCTCATTTGGTTGTTTTACTTTGTTATTATTGCGTGGTGTGCCCATTCGATAAAGAGGAGAATTGCATGCTACATATCTGGTGTTGTATATATTATTACATGCTTTGCATGCGGAAATACATACATTGTGAAGCGGGCCGCCCTCTTTGCTGCCGCTCAGGAAACATATAGACGTTCAAATAAGTTAAAAGCAGCTACTTGATTAAGAATGCATCGTTTAGTGCACCGTAACTCTGAAATACCGATTGCGGTGCAAATCTCGCTGCTGAAGCTCGAGATCCTTGCGCGCAAAACGCTGGAAGCGTTTTTGATAAACGCACAAAAATGCGAAGTTGAATAGGAAAGAGGAGTGTATCACCAAAAAACTGACGCTATATTAACCCCTGTGCGGATTTGAATATGAGATTTGGTCAGAGCGGCGGCGTATATAAGATCTGAGACACAGTATTGCATACACGATGGCTCCGACTAGTTTGCTTCTACCTTAGATGAGTGCTACTCTTGTATGACTAGATTTTCCACTGACTTTAATATTACTTTGAGTCTTTTGTTGTCGTCGGAGAGATTCTGATGATTTTTGATTCCAGGCTCTGACGAAGGCGACAGCCGAAACCAGTCATTGTATTATAATAAGCTGTGTTAACATCTTGGTCGATCGCTTCAATCAAATGTCAAGTGACAAGCCATGCCAAGGCTCAAAGATGGCCGAACATGGACAATCATGTTTTTCCACAATGCAGGCAATGTCGCCGACTTTGGTTTATCATGGGAAATGTTTATAAATAGTTGCAAATTTCCTTATGATATCCTTTTGGAATAAGTGCGCAGCAAGTTTCCCATACTTGAGAAATTCTTGCTTATAGCGATGATATAAACAAAGCAGACAACGACGCCGGAAACAAAGGCAACAAGACGCTAATAAAAAATTAAATAGCCCACCAAAAATTGAAAATTCTCCATTTGGATAACTAATATTTTTATCTTCTTCTTTCACAGATCTCCTTTAAAGGCACCGTCCACCCAAACTGGGGTTGGTGAGATTATGATACCTAGCAGATGCGGGGCCCCCAACTGTATGATTGCCCAACTCGCGCTGCCTGAAGTTGCTTCCGAACCGAGAAAACTGCTTCGGAAATTGCTTCAGACCGCGTTCGCGACGCTGGCTCCTCCCCTTTCGGAGTGGGCGTGACGTTCGTCCCGCCCATCCGTGCGCGGCCAACCAATCACCGTACCGAAGAAATCGCTCTGCGGGTTCTGAAAACGGTTTTTCTTGGTTTTCGCGGATTTTCAACTTAATATTCGGACTCAGGGGTATGAGAAGGCCCTGGAACGGCAAAAACATGGAGGTCGAAATTTTGGGTGGACGGTGCCTTTAGAGAGAGTTCCTGGCAGGTATGTCTGATGGCTATGTGGCGCCTCTCGCCTCTGGGTGAGGATGGGGAATTGCGGAAACACACCAAAAACCGACTATTTTTTATCAGCGTATTTAACATGTTGACGACAATGTGCATTTTGAGTTGTCTGCCTCTGGGACAATGCCTTCTACGGCTAAGTCATATTTTTTCAGCGAAAATCATGCATATCGTCGACTACAGTATACCTACAGTAATCATATGAAGCGGGTGAGAAACGCAAAAGTATTTTCTAGGGTCAGAGCGTAAGAGAACTTCTAAAACAATTGTAGGTCATTTTAACAAAACTTAAGCCGTGACCCACCATGTGGGTCACATTGTCTCCCACGTGGCAGTCATTGCATGACCCACAATGTGGGTCACGTTGTCGTCAATGTGTTAAGCAGGCAAAGCGGAGAAACGGACTCCCTCACCTCAAAGAACTTGCATCTAATCTCTCGAGCAACATGCGGGAGACCAGTTCGAATTCACTTCCAACAAATAAACTCTGTTTCCTCGCGAGGGTTTGAGCCCCTAACTATTTCCTGCGAGTAATTCGAACGTGAACACAGCGATAACATGAAAGCTTCTATGTTTTTGGAAGTCTTAGAACGACCCACTGCTAACGCCGTTCCAAGACTGAAAAGCCCTTCCCCAGCGGAGACAATCTTTAAAGGGTGATCTAAGCTGCGAAAACAGATAATGGAAATGAGGACGCATCCATCACCTCATGAAAAAAGAAAGGAAGATCAAGTAAAACGTCATCGGGGACAGAGAACAAAAGGACACCACCCACTAAACGCCACATTTGATATAGAGGAACCGTTCTTATAAACAGTTCTGTGGCTTGTGTTTCATTGTCAACGACACACTAGCAATCTGACTGGAATGTTGGCTATTATCAAGATGTAGATGAAATCCAACTTGACAGTCTTCCTAGCATGCATGCTCTCTGTTGTCTTCCAACATCAAGCTACGGAAACGAACTAGTTATATGGATTTGAAGAGGGCTCAGAAAGACATATTCTATAAGATTACCATCAGTGTTTTGAGGTCGCCTGCGGAACTTCATATTGGGACGCCGCTACAGTGGAACCAACAATGCGAAAGCCTATCCAAGATCATCAGTTCGGAAAGGAACATCCGTAGAAACTAGCATTATCAGAAGCCCTCCCGCTTACCTGTCGCCGATGGAGAACAGCATAGCGATGTATTACCTTCTGTTGACTACAACAGTGTCAAAAGAAGGTATTACCTAACGAACATCGCTATTTTCCCAAAATTCTTCCCAGAATCAGACCATAGTCTCTTGTCTCGATTAGACTATTGCCTCTTACGCGCAAGTTCTGCTTTCACAAAATGGAAAGCACGTTCAGATACCGTCCCACGACTGCTATCAACTGGGAACTGTTTTCCTCAATATCCGACTTTTTCTAGCAATATTTTGTGAGCGCCAACATCAATAACGGTAAGAAAACTTCGTAAAACATTTCCACTATTGACCTAAAGAAATCTAGAGTTTACGATGTATACAAGCCAAAAATCAATGGAAAACATCTACGAATAATATTCGGCTCTTGGACAGTCACGTTCATCCGACTTTTGAAACCTAAGGAAGAACGATTGAGTTGTTTTGTTCTCTCTTGCCCTATTATGTCCCCAAAACGGTCGAACCAGAACAACAAGACTCTTTCGCAATCCTAAACTTCAGCGATGATAATATTCCCGGGTGAGAGACCAGCAAAACCGCATTGTTGTACAAGAAGGGGATCCCTAAACACTGGCACCCTTCGCGGTGGCTAACGGAAGGGGTCCCAGGAAAGCGAAAGCCCAGCAAGACCGGTTGTTGTACAAAAAAGAAGATCCTTGCTACATTGGCGACCATCGTCCTAGTTGCCTGTTGTCAATAG